TTTGTAGCTTTGAAGCTTCTACAAATAGTTAAAATAATGAGCAGCAAAAAGTTAGGGACCTCAATATGTTCAAAATTTTATGTTGCCATGATGCTTCTAAACAGCGCAACACTCGCAACTACTAAAAAGAAAAACTGAACCCAGGCAATGATATACTACCTTGATGTTCGGAAAGGAAGTCGTCTGGGAATGAGCAGATGAGCTTCACCAACTCAGAGAACGCCGTCTCCTTCACATCTTCCGAATTGGATAATAGAAAAGGCCTGAATCAGGTACAATCTGCGGTCGTGAACAATTAGAAATACTGAATAATTTTGTCAAACTACACAGCTCACCTTTTCGCTTCGAAGAAATCACTCAGAGCAAGAGATCTGTCAATTACTAGTTGCTGATAGGCAGTACTATAGTCACCCTCCCCTGTGGTCATCCTGAAAAGTAAGATTTATTGAACCGTATACCAGCAGAAACTGAAGCAGGAAAGTAACGAGTGATCAAATTCAACAATGATACTCTACACAACCAACGTGAATGAGGACTTGGAAGCCAAACTCATTCGTTAAATAGGCCCCCCATGGATGATTGTAGGGGACTCGAATCAGTTCTATTGAGAATTCTAATACAGGTCTTGATTTAAAATGCTACGAAATCAACAATGAAGATTACGATAGGAGAAAAATCGACGAATTAACCTCGAATGGCTTGATCGGCTCCAGGCAGAGTGAGAGAAGGTTGGGGTGATACCAAACTTCCTACCCTCAACTTCTAATTAAGGCCCTAATTAGATATGAAGACTGACATTGCAACATTACCGTCGCCGAAGCCGAAGCGTTGCCCAGAAGATTTTGCCTATCTCATTCGCGAGCGCGCGGGTTGCGGCAGGAGAGTCAGGAGATCTTTTCTATTAGGTTGTCTCATAAATAGTGTCGCTTTTTTTCAACCAAAAATTTTCATCTAAATCCCCATGCTTTTACAGAGAGTTATATACCATTCGAAAGAGAATTGTCTGCTCTACAAAATATCGTGTTCTTCTTCCATCTATGTTCAATGGTTTTCAAATTTGAGGCATGCGAAATGGGAGGTCCCGCCGACAAAAATTGACCAAACCGACAACTAGCTCTAACTTTATGTTCCCTTCGGAGAAATCAATCAATGATGTACCCTCTACTTATGCATGACCTCTTCTAAACATTACACTATTAGGTTTCCCAACAAGTCGCATCATTCCATTTCCAGACCCGGTTTTTCAACCAGAACTCGACGGTTGAGCACCATTACCTGAGATCGAGGTCGAAATTTTTTTACAGCCGAGACATTGAAAAACTAGTAGAATTTCAAGAACAAGTCGTGACTAAGTTAGGAATGTACGCCTGGTTGGTTTTCTCATCTCCTCAAGGATAATTTCTTTCAAAGAAATGCGGTCACTTTTGTGGACAAAGCACCTTACTCCTAAACCCTAAAATTCGAGCTAATTCCTAACAAACATCAAAACAAAACAAATGAGCGAATAGAGCAGAAGAAGTGCTCACAAAAGATATAACCAGTTGATATAAAACAATAGCGTTTCAGAGGAAGAATTTCAATTTGAAAATTGCCATGGCTTATCGGTCGGCCAATTCGAAAAGAAACAGGGCAAACCTTTTTCGGCAACCTAAGGGTGGAATGTTCAGAAGAGGTCATGAGTAAGTAGAGGGTACATCATTGATTGATTTCTCCGAAGGGAACATAAAGTTAGAGCTAGTTGTCGGTTTGGTCAATTTTTGTCGGCGGGACCTCCCATTTCGCAGGCCTAAAATTTGAAAACCATGGAACATAGATGGAAGAAGAACACGATATTTTGTAGAGCAGACAATTCTCTTTCGAATGGTATATGATTCGATGTAAAAGCATGAGGATTTGGATGAAAATTTTTTGGTTGAAAAAAAGCGACACTATTTATGAGACAACCTAATACAATAAGATTTGAGTGGATGGAATTTCCCCCTGCCCAGAGCTGGCGTAAACAAATGAGGGCATGGAGATTCTTTTCAGAAAAGAAAACTTTCCAAATTCCATTTGAAACACGACAAAACGGGTGGATGCCATTTTCCCGAGTGAGATCTTTGGCAGCCACCGGTGACTGCCATTCTCACGAATGGTGGTTCAAGACCTGGGAGAAGGACTGAAGTAACTTGACCAAGTTTAGAATACATCCTTAGCTTACCGTTCTCCTTCGGACCGTTAGCTAGCTAGCTGTTTCTGCTGTGACGATTGCAGTAATGACCAGGCCGTCCGGCATTACGCGCGCAAAGCAAAAGATAAGCGACTAGAATTAGTTTCTGCGCCATTCAGCGCTTCACTTCCAGAAACCCTGGAGGTGGCCAGGGTTGCAGGCCACCGCCTACTCCAGACAGAACCTCGTCCGTCGCGCATGACTCTATGAAAATTCCGCCGCAACCCTTATCCAGAACCACTAGACTAACCACTAATAATGCTTGATTACTAAAAAAACACAAAAGCACCGCATTTGAAACAGCTAGCAACACTTTTGGGATCATCCTCCTATGTTATGTTTATGGGATGGTAATACAGATCGTTACAAGTTTTCGGCCTGAACTGCAATCTCGACGTGGTAATGCTGAAGCACCCCCTTTCTCGATGGAAAATCACCTTTCTGAAAATCACCTCTCAAATCACAAATCGTAGCTTTTTACCCATTGCAATCTTATCGTGCTTACTACTCTGTCATCACTGGAATCTGGAGATCCACGCAAATCATGGGGGACTGCATTGTTTCCTCGCTATTGCCCCCTCACCGCAGGAAACCATCAAAGGTGCTCAAAAGGTCCACAAAGAATGTTGATAAGAGATCAACGTAAACAACAGCGCGCTCGTGCAACGAATATAATGACAAAATATTTGGCGCCACGACTGGAAGGGTAATCGCTGACATTCAGCGCACTTCTTTAACAACCCTTCAGCTGTTCATGCTTCCCATTTTTCGTACCACTTGTTTGTAACTTTTGAATAACTCCGAAAATACCACTATGCCTCTACAAAACCAACAACCTGAGGGTAAATCCACGTCTTCCGACGCAGGAACCATACCTGGCTTCTGAAATAAAGTGAGGTGATGACAGGTTAGCCAAAAAAAATCAACAGGGATAGAGTGAGCTCGGGAAACCTTCGAATTCAAAGCGGGAGCCCCAAATTTCTTGCACATAGAGCAACTTATGAGATTCCATGAGTTCCAATTACTTCTAGTTTTGTAACCTCCACTTAAAAAAGCGAGAAAGTGCGCTTTTCCGCCTGTGAAGGAAAGGGTAATTATTCAGCTATAGACAGGTTTACCAAATACAAGTCAGTTTTTATAATAACTGATGATTTTCCATGAATTATTTTGGCTTGCTAGTGAACAAAACTGGGAAAGATGACGCATTGCATCCGTCCACACCCTCTCGAAAATACCCCTGCCTGTGACTTCCACACAGAAACCAGCAGAACATGTTCGGGACTAAAAACCAAACGCCGAACCGCTTGAAAATTACTGATAAGCTGACGCATAAAATTTTGCTCAAGCTCTGTCATCGCTCCTTTATGACGCTAAAATAGCCCACAAACGTAACAGGCGGGCATGTGAGGGAAAACAGCAATCACCTGATTGTTACGGTGCGTCTCTTATCGTCAACTATATAGGCCAATCGCGCCGTGCGAAGGCGTCATTTTTCTAACGCTATTGCTTTGTGCCGAGTGAAACCAACTCGTCATCACCAACAGAAAGTGGCAGGAAACCGTCAGAACCGTACCCAGCGAACAGCAAATGAGATCCCTCACATTGCTGATCGTAGTCATAGCATGCGGAATCTCCGTGCAGGTGGGCTGTAAATTTCTTATATTGTCCGGGGCAGCCTCCACAAAGGAGGACTCTGAAGCACCACCAATTTTGCACCCGCTGGAGTAAATTAATAGGTTCGCTTTTTAGAAAGAGTCGAACAAAGCAGAACCTTCTATAGCAATCGTCGGCGCCGGCATGAGCGGTTTGTCGGCAGCTCGACGATTGATTGAAACAGGACGAACTGACATCGACATTTACGAAGGAATGGATCGCATTGGAGGACGTATACATCCCGTGCCATACCGTATGTCTGTTTGGGTCATATGATGTTCATATGATACCGAAATTCCATCTTAAGGTGGTGGATTCCTACAAATGGGAGCAGAATACATAAACGGGGCGGACAATCCAATCTACAAAATCGCAGATAAACTGGGAGTCATTGCCGACATCATTTCCGACACAGCACAACTGCAGAATGCCGAATACCTGATTGGAAACCAACCAATAGACAGGTACTCTTCATACCGGAAGTGATGCAATTATTACTGCGAGCTCCAAGAATGATCGGCGAGAAAGCAAGAGTGATCAAAGTTTGTCCACCAAATAGTTTTCGAATTCGAGGTCACATGGTAGGAATTTTTGGAAAAGTTAAGTCTACTTTGCCCAAAAATCGAAGGCAGAGTGGTCGAGTCTACCAAACATGGTATGTAGCAGCACAAATCGCGCTTTTCTTTCGCCACAGCCACGCTTGAGGGATTTT